ATTTAAAGTTCTCTGATTTTCTTCGATCGACTTGAACAGCCAATATTTATTGCCTCTGCTGTAGCCAAGTTGTTTAGTTAAATGCGTTGATAGGGAAGATCGAAATGAGGTGAATGCGTCCATTGGTGACGAGGATTCGCCGGCGGAGCGAACGACACGATATACCGACGCTAGTCATTGTTTTAATAAATTTGTACATAATGTTATATCGGTGTTAGTCGTGAAATCGACTCGTCGATTCGAGTCTGTAACATGTGCGCGCAGTTTGTATGGCCAATTTACCGTGATTCCGACGCGAATATCGATTTCTGACCGCGATTAGTTAATACGCATTCACTTAGGAGAATAACGAGAGTGGAAAAGGAAAAAAAAAAATAATAATAATAATAATTGAACGCTTCATCACCTTTAAGCGTGACTCTTCGTAAATTAAAGCACGAATATATTTTGTTCCATAACCGATTCTAGTCTGAATACTTCGCTACCGAATCACGAAACGTTTTAAACAATCATTTGATCGTTTCGTAGGGACACCGATGCTAGTCAAGTTTGATCGAACAGTTAGATAATAATTGCAATAGAAATTGTCACTCGACGAATTTGAATTATTTCATTTCACGAAATTATCGATGATTCCCAAGTGTAGAAACACGGGCTTTCGTAGAATCGCAACAGCCTGAACTAGCAAAGCCCTGTCAGACTATTCGGAATTAACGACTATGAAGAGTTTCAGTTAATTAATTTCTCAGAATGATCAGAGATTCTCAAGTGTATAAATACGAAACGTTCGTAGAAGACGTTTGGAATAATTTAAGCTGGGAACAGTCTGAACTACCAAAGCCCGGAGGGACCTTATAACATAGTTAGATCGTTCGAAATGATGGGAGATTAAAATCTGACTTTTATACGTTTTTTGACTGGAACGATGTTCATATCGAGAGTCGATAGATTGCTAAGGACAAAGTATAATAGATTCGACGATTGATACGGACGATGAAGAATAATCGAAGATACGCTTCGTCGGTCTAGATAGTTGACGATTATAATTTATTTAGCTAATAGAATCGATGTTGTATTCTCGTTGTTTCAATTTAATTATTACGAGTATTTTAATTATTTAATTATTACGAGTATTTTAATTATTTATTGTGTATACACATAGGTGCTTCGTGTTTATTTATTTAATTTATTGATAATGTTTAGTGACGAATACACTTACGCTGACAATAACGATAACACGGTCACCGAGTATGAAACATCGAATTTTCGTTTTATTCTTAAAATGAATTAGAATTGAGTTGAAGAGAAATTCATTGGGCATGCTTACGAAACGAGTGACGAATCTGTAATTAATAGACTACCGATTTTTATGCAATTATTAAAAATCTCGCACTTATTGCATATAAGAAATACATAAAGCAATTTATGTAAATTTCACAGTATGAAATTATGAAAGTGAAAAGTGTGCATAAATGAATTATATATGCTTTCGAAAATATGATTTTACATAAAAATCTGAAGTCTAGTAATGAAATATGTATGCAATACATATCGTGGCTGACTGGAGCCAAAGATTTCTTACGTCGTCTATGTAGGAACGTCGATGGCAGTAATTATAATAATTCGAGGGATGTAACACGTTCCGATTTTTAATTCACGTCACAATTTCTACTCATTTTTCTGTAATTTTAAGATAAGAAGAAGACGACAGTGAGTAGAAATTATGACGTGAAATTAGAATATTTATTATATTATTTTTCGTTTGCGATTCGGGGATACGAACGAGGAATCACGAAATACACGTGCATGCAACTTCCCCCACGTTCTTTCAACCAGCAACGATTTGTACCAGCCATTGAAAATTCAGCAGATCTATTCGTAGTAGCACCCACGCGATCACGACCACTAAGACACACTTTTTAGATAAAAACAACAAATCTTTTTACGACGCTCGAGGGGTGCGGAGGATTACCTAGAAGAGTCGTGCAATTTTACACAGACATAGTCTACCCACAAAAATATATGTGTAAGTACGGGACGAACTGTACCGAAATTGATTTTGATAATAGAGAATGCGTTTGACGTTGGATGTGAACGTGTGTTTGTGTATGGAAACGTGTATACAAGACGGAAGTCCGCGAATCGAGACGAACAGAGGAACGGTGTGACGGGGACGAGGGGCGATGTTTAGAACACAGTTACTCCGAATAATACGTTTCGCAATTAACTATGTGTGCGCTGTTTGTCGTGCGACATTGTCATTTTTACTACGACCAGATGACGATTTGTTCCATTGTCAGCCTCCCGGTGAACACGAGTCGCAGTATCACTAACTAAAGCGGAACCGTTCGAATAAATTTTCATTTTAAAAATGTTGGAACTGAATACATTTCTTTATGCAAATCTTTCTCTCATCGTCCTGCGTACGTATCCCTTATTAATTTTCGGATCCATCTCTTATATGTGCCATTATTATATTTAGATTTATTATTATTANTATATAAATCAAATAAATAAATAATTTGGTTTAAAAAAAAAACCAAATAATTTGGTATAAAATCGCACATAGAATTATAAAAATTGTGATTTGAACAGAAATTGGCATATATTTATCTACAATTCGATTATGGTTTCTATTCAAGCAGAGACTTCAGGATTTTTAAACACCATTTGCAGTACTAAAATTTCCGCATGTCTTCCATAAAGTTCTCCTTATTACTCGTGCCAAAATTTGTCTTCACCTGACAATGAAACAGAGGAGCATGATGAACACAGCAAGAGAAACTAGCAGGCGGGTGAGAGAGCGGTCGTTAAACCTGGGCACGTAGCTGCTGCGTAATCGCGAAACGCGGAGGAAAGTAGGTACGTATCCGCGGAAGGTAGCGACGGTGGCGGCGGCGGAGGACGAGGAGGACGCGGCGAGGGAAAAAAACGAGAGGAAAGTGACAGAGGGGGTGATAATTTGTTAGCATGCGCGCACCCCAAATGCGCGAAATCCCGTCGAAGTGCGGCTCGTGCGCATTGTTTCCTTGTTTGCCAGGTGTTTCGAGTACTCGGGCCGAGTGGGGGCCAGGCCATTGTTACGAGAAGTCGCGCAACCGCTTGACAAAGCCGACGATCTAATGCTCTTTTATTGTGCATTGTGCTCGGCCAAATCAAGGAACGGGGAACGCCGCTAACCGAGCCGAGGGATCTCTCCCGATAGGGGCGGTCGGAGGCGCCTCCGCAGCCACCAACGATCCCGCTCAACCGGTCCCAACAAAGAGACCACGGCCGACAGAAACAATTGTTATCTATATTACTAGCAGAGTGGAAAATTTATCTACCAAACGTCCACATCGCTCATTGACAACCAATACGACACGTGATACGAAAAACTCAGATTTTACACAGAAATATTTAACACAGATAACATTAAATTTTTAGACTGATCATTTTTATGCTAAACAATTATTTGTAACGTCAATGTAGAAAATTCAATCTAAATAGGAATTTATTTTATACTCATTTTATACTACAGCTTTTGTAACATCTATTAGTTTAGTAATACTTAAAATCGAATACTCAATACTCAAATTAGTCTTTAACACTAGATTGCCCAAGGAAGTCATTTTGACTGCTTTTGGGCAAATGTACAAATAATAATGCATAAATTATTTTTTTTCCCAAGTGAAGTAAATTTCTTTTATTGTTAACATTTACTAATAACTTGTTATATGATTGTAAATAACATAAAAAATATTAAAAATTAATTTTAGACAAATTTCTTTACACATTATTCTTTCACAATGCAGTCATTTTGACTGCTTTGGGCAATATAGGTATATACTAAGTTTCAGTCTTTCTAGTGTTAAGTTTAGCAATACGTTATTTTATATACAGGGTATCCGAAAACTAGGAAGATATT